AAGAAACCAAGAGGATCTGATGAACTATTGCTCTGATTCTAAATAGCACTGCTCATACAACTCTGAACCACCAGGGCTTTGGTCTGAGGTCGCCTTGCTTAGTTACCACATCAAATAACCAAGGACCTCTTGTCCCGGATTATAGCATAAACCTACAACACAAGATTAAAATGGAAACATCTATCCTACACTATTTACATACCTGAATCTAGCAAAGGTTTCATAGACCACTTATTCTCTATTATCTAGCTACAACTGCTATGCTACTGTACAGTGAATGTGCTTTGAGAGGCAAAAGGCACAGTGAGCAAAAGATAATAGAAGGGTCACATGAAATTTAAAACCAGAAGCACCTCCTAATTATAAAGCAATAGGTCTTATCTTCAACACAATTTTATCTCTATTAGAAGTAATTATCAGTCTCTGTAATCAGTATATGAGTAGTGCTGCAGATGAAGTTACACAAAGAGCTATTTTTTCTGTATCTTAACTAATTTATTTTGCCCACAACTAATATTTTTAGTCTATTAATTTGCCAACATCTGTGTCATTGTAATCTAAAGAAATTCCTGCTACATTAGGCACCTCACCATGGAAAACATAACACAGAGAAATTGAGGGAGAAAAGTCAAGGAAAATGTGATTACAAAGAGCAGGGGTATTGGTAGAAATCACAAAAATGTATGTATTATTTTCCTTAGAAACCAGGTGAATAAGCGACAATGGGAATAAAAAATACAAAGAAAAAGACTTAGATTAATTTTCTCTGCATCAAACCACAGAAGTAAGGATATTCAATCAAAATACATTTTCATCTCATGTGATATTTACCCAAACTCTGGAACTGCATTTCCAGATGTCATAAGCATCAGGGCAGCAGAATGCTTGAAAAGATTACAAATTCAGAGGTTGCAGCTGAAAATACAGAATAGAGCTAACAGCATTTCTGAGGAGATTAATCTTCATATTTCAGGGTGTAGTGAAAAAGTATCTTAATTCTTCTGAGGTTTCTGAGCTGACCACTTTCACAGTAAGACTGAATGTCTGACAGGGCCACCAACTAAACTACTATGTTACCTTACCTCCCACACTAGTTTTCACCTGCAGAGTGGAAACGTTGACACTGAGCTAAATTTTCCCTTTTTTCCTGTAAAAATCTAGGCCTAACCTAAAAATGCATTTGTTTTTCCACCCCAGTGTAGTATCTGCCCACTATCCATACGATGAAAGATTGCTTTTGACAGATCAAAATCACATGTGTACACATACAGAAGGAAGTAATCTACCATCACCTTCTGAAACTGGATTTATGTTGTAGCCGTAACTGCTGTAGGAATCCAAAAAAACTACATATGCGAGATATGAGACATAAAATGCAGTGCTGTTCATCTTATATCCATTTAGCCTAAATCAGCTATGTCTCATAAAGAGCTGGAGGGACATCTAGTGGACTTGTTGACAAGCAGGAAGGCCTTTGTGCTATCATTTTACTGCACTGCTGCTCCACGTGAGAAGTGTTAATCTTGGTCTTCCCACTAAATAAGTATATGAAATACCAGAACAGTACTAAAACCCCTGCCATGCAAAACAGGCAGCCAGCTATAAAACATACTGTCATCAACTCTAGATCTAGCCAGATTCTCATATTCAAACCAGGACAGATTTCAGAGCAAATCTACAGTTTGCTGATACTATAGGATCAGAACTATGTTCAAAATACATACCTGAGGCATTTTAACTATAAATATGTAAATTTCACATTGCACCAGCCTTCAAAAAGTGGTTTAGCACCTACAAAAATTCCTTTACAGGTTACAAGCAAGAGATAATTATATTTTTTTTTTATCTTCTATAAAAGTAAAAGAAATTTACATTCTAGCTTTACCCCAATCCTATTGGCTTCAAGATGCAGCCATGTACTGTACTGTACTACAGTCCAGTCATTACAGATGTAATGTACTTTGGAAAGCAGAATGAAACATTAATCAACGTGTATTGTATAGGAACTATTCTTACCCAAGCTATGAATATTTACTTCCACTGGCCTTGTTCAATAATAAACCCAAATATTTCCAAGCTTCTTGGGAATGAAGTTACAAGTGTACTTACACAGTCAGAGAAGAGGGAAGAGCAGAGATGTGGAATGCTCTGATTCTGGGGAATAATCCTACTTATTTCAAGTACTTTGGAAAAATTTGAGATACTATATCAGAGAGTGTAAACATTTTTAGTGCCTGGGTCCAACAGATGCATTCCAAAACAGTTCACAGGTCTAAAATCTGTAAGTTTAAGAATATCCTTAATTAGTTTTGCAATTCCCACAATTTTTTATTTGAGCTTCTTGACCTGCAAATGTTCTCAACTTTGTTTCAGACACGGGCAATCAACTATGCTTAAACAAATTCTAAAGGTGCTTTAGTGTAAGAAGCAACTTAGGGAGAATCAGGCAAAAGCCATTTCCATCTTCTTTTCACCCAAGGGAAAAGCTAGGTCTCAGCTTTTCTCTTTTCAGTTTTCCCTCTATAGTTCTCTATAGATGAAAATACAGAAAAAAAATCCTCCTAACAGTGAATTTCAGCAACATTTTCAGCTTTTCAAATTTAAAAATAATTTCATTCTATGGTTTGTTTTAATTAATGTGAAATGGGCCAACTTCAGGTGGGCTTCCACTTTCCTCATTGATTTCCTACACACCTAGACAGTGTCTTTGTTCCTTCAAGGTTTGGAGGAATAACCTGACCCTCCTTCTACTTATTCTGTGTTCTTTTATTACTGTTTTTAGTTAGGAGACCTCTACTTTTTTTAGTTAGGAGACCTCATCTACTTCTTCTTCCTGTCTGTAGCAGACACTCACTCTAACACACATGTTGGCTGCCCACTAACCCTAGCTCATAAGCAATCAGCTGGCTTATCATGCAAAGTTCATCTTCATGTACAAGAAGAAATCAAAACCTTGGGAAGACTGACTTTATGAAACACAGTGTGCACAACCCAGAAAAGAAGGATATGCCTCTTGTTGCTTCAACACGGGAACTCTGCAACTTCTGCTGCCTCGTTGCCTAATATGGACCCACATTTTACAGGTTGCCAGAGTATATATACAAAGTATGGTTTCATAAGTAAACAGTATTAGTCCACAGCAATCTGAAACACAAAGACAGATTACTGAGCATGATATTTTCTTTCACTGATATTTTGACTACAGAATGGGATCAACACCAGGATGTGTCCAATGCATTTCCTAATTAGATCATATAATCATAGATCATATATACATGTTTCAGGATATCTCCCATATATACGCGTTTCAGGATATCTCCTGAAAGACAAACACGATCTAAAGTCAGGCCTCTGTATTTAATAGCTATACAGTATTTACAGAAAAGCTACAAAGGGGATTTATAGTTACACAAAGGCTGAAGCAGAGATTTTCCTTGAGTAAGGATCTTATACTGTATAGTTTAACAAAGAGAGGCTGATTGCTATGTTCCAGTTAACCTCAGGGAGCATCCAATTGGACACTGGACTGCAGAAGCAAATGACTGCACCCTGTATTGCTAGATGTTCTAAATCCATGTTCAGACCTACAGTTTAAAACTTCATTTTCATTTCTGTGGCACTCAAACTACATAGTTAAAATTAATTTTTTAAAATTTACATTGAACAAGTCCACACGTAAGATTTCAATGGTAAAGGTGACTTACACCTGCCTGAAGATGACAAATAAACTTATTGCTAATCTCCCTGCTGAAAAAGGCAGCGAGACAAAACACAAGGTTATTCCGAATGGATTTTCAGGCCTGGAAAAAAAAAAAAAAAAGGTCCCCCTCTCAGGCTTGCAATCCTTTTGACTGAGTAATAATAGAAGTATTCTGTTTACCAGTGCTCTTTCCATCCTTATTCAAGTTTTCACCTAACTCAATTCAACAACAAAAGAGAAAAAAAAAAAAAAACAAAAAAAAAAACTCTTATCTGTTTGTCTTTAGCATACAAAGTGCAAGAGAAATATTCTCCTCTCCTACTGCCTTCTTTTTCTTTACATTTCTTTTAAAAGGAAGACACATGACTGAGGTTGGCAGGGAAATTATATGGTCCAATCTCTCTGCTCAAAGCACAGTCACCTACAGTAGTTTCGTGCACATGATGTTCAGCCGTGTTTCAAGCATCTAAAAGGACAGAAACTTTGAAGGGTCTTTCAGCAACATGTGCCTGTTTGGCACCCTCACAGTTAAAAAGTTTTCCTTACATTCAAGCGGGATTTCTCATATTTCAATTTGTGCCAATTCTCTCTTGTTCTTTCACTGGATCCACTTAGGAGGCTCCATCTCATTTAGTGTCCCTGCTCAGATATTTGTACACATTGATAATAACCCCTTCAATTTTCTCTTCTGTACTCTAAATAGTCCCTTCTCTCTCAGCTTATTCTAACACATCAGGATTGGATCTAATCCCATTATCATCTCAGTGATCCTTTTCAAGACTCACTCCAGTATGTCAGTGTCCCTCTTGTCCTGGAGAGCCCTGGCCTGGACAGAACACTCCAGCCAGGGCTGAGCCAGGCTGAGAGAAGTAGCATCTCCCTCAATGTGCTGCAGCACCCTGCCCAGTGGAGCCCAGGATGCTGCTGGACACCGGTGCAAAAGGATGCATTTCTGGATAATAACTTACTGTACCCCAGGTCCAGCTGGCAGAGCTGTCGCCCAGCCCGTCAGTCCCCAGCTGCCCAGCTGCAGGGGGACCTACCCGGCCCAGGGCGCAGACAGCAATTCCACCACCAGTGCGAGGCCTCGCCAGCGTTCACATTGCCCTCCACTGTCCCACTGAGGCACACCGCTGCAGCTGGCAGACACTGGAAAGCCCAGCATGGAAACTACTTCTGTTTTTTTCAGGAGTGAGGCTCTGCCCTAACAGACCGCGCGGCCGCCCCTGGACACGGCCGGCCTCGCCTGTAATGTCAGAGCGCTCAGAGCGCCAAGGGGACGCCGCTACTGTTACGCAGCTCAGCTCCATTTCACAACCCACGGGAGGCCGACTCCCGGACGAACAGCGGGACGCTGGAGAGCGCTGTCCGCCCAGCCGTCCCGGCTAATGGCCGGTGGGGCCGCAGAGCGGCACAGCCCCGCCTGCCCCGGGCTCCCCTCGCGGGCTCGGCGGGCGCAGCGCCGGGGCTGCCGGCAGGGGGAGCGCGGGGGCCGCGGCTCGGCGGGGCCGGGCTCGGCGGGGCCGGGCTGAGGCGGCTCCCGGCCGGGCTGAGGCGGCTCCCGGCCGGGCTGAGGTGGCTCCCGGCCGGGCTGGCTGCGGGCCGGGCCCTCCGTTCCCGGCGGGTGCGGGCCCCGCAGCGGGAGTCTCTGCGGAAAGGAGCCCGTCTGCGGAGCCACAGCCTCCTGCTGGCCAGAGAGCGGCGGCTGGCGCGGGGAGGCGGGCAGGGCAACGAGCCGCCTCGGAACCGCGACCTGGTGTACTTCTCCGAGGCAAGAACAGCTGGAATCCCAGCAATGCCATTTCACACCATTCCCAGTGGCACTGAGCAAGTCGAGGGTCGTCTCAGGGACGAAACTCAGCAGGAATTTGTGCGCAGTTTCGGCACAGGGAGTTCCTGTGTTCGGAGGCGCGGGGGTGGGTCTGGGGAAGCGGCTGACTCAGGACAAGGGCATTCCACCCAAGGCGTCCTGGGCCCCAGAGCTGCGCTAATCATTATTTGCATAAGGGGTTGATTTTTTTTTTTTTTTTTTTTTTTAAATTCCTTGTTGTACAAGCAAGAAGTGGGTAACAAGTTGGTTCATTTGTATATGCAGTAACAAGCGAAAGAATTGAGTGTCCCATTCTAGGTCATAAACTAAGAAATAGCCAGAATTCTGAATCTAGCCCACCTTCCTGTCCACCAAAAACTCGTACTGTACTTCAGCAGTGATTCACATCCTTTCCCATCACACTGTTTGATGCTTTTCATTGTACTACTTCACCACAACTTTAATTTCGTAGCAAGTCTGGCAACATATCAATCCTTGAAATGTGTCTTGCATTGGTGGAAAATAACTATTATCAGCTTGGGATACTAATTCTTGTGTGCAATCTCAACAAATTTCCACAAACCAAGCTAGAACCACCGTTCTGTTAAGGCCAATTCTTGCTATTTCAGCTGCTGCAGGACCATGTCCGCAGTTTATGGACAAGCCAGAAGAACACTGTCTTCCCATTCACAGGTGAACACACTTCCACTTGTAAAAGATCTCACTGACATCATCTGAATGTGACTTCACCTAGTTATTTTTCTATTAAAATAATTAGGCTACCATTTTGAGCAGCAAGAATTTTTTTCTTACACCTTTGCACACATAAAGATCTCCTGCTTCCTAGAGTGGACACAAATAAGCATTTATTTCATTAGGATCATGCCTTGGTTTTATTAGCTGTCCTTTGTATTGCAGTTATAATTTCCATATTCTTGGCAACGTGGGCTCCGATGTGTAAATTCTTCAGATGGGTTCTTGGAATAAACAAGACAGCTTTCTGAAACAGCCAAAAATAGCTGTTCTGAGTAGAGCCTTGGAATATGTGTGAGAGGCTGGGAGAAGTGGGGGAGACAGCTCAGGCTGGTCCCTGATCAGGGATTTCCAAATCATATGAGCATCTGTGGTGTCTAAGATATTTCAAAACCTCCCCTGTACAGGAAGGTACAGAAAGAAATTGACACTGAAATGCAAAGGAGGAACTTGCAAGTTTACGTTCTTTCTGGGTTAGTTATAAAATTGGCCAAGTAATTTCTAGTCATCATGTAGAACTAAAAACTTTCAAAGGGAGTTCCACTGCCACTTAAATTCCTGTACATGAGCTAAGATTGCCCAGTTGAAGTTAATCTTCAGTTCCTGGGAGCCCAGCGAAGACATCCTATTCTATATTGGACAGACACAGAGAAATACTACAAAGCCTTTACCATGGAAAAATTACTGGTCAATAGCTTCTATGAGGGGATTGTCTTTTGTCATTTGCAGTGGAAATAGTTGAATTGAGAAGCTGTTTCGTATATCAAATGTATCTTTTATGCTCTTCTTGTTGCATTATTTTCTTTCAAACTCTTTGTCATATAAAATACCAACAATTTGGTAAAGTGACTTGCCCTCCATTCAGGTATTGTATCACAGGTGAGAATGGATTTATTTATCCACTGGCAACTGGCTAAGAGGAAAATAATTTCAAAGAGTTATTCAAGAAAATATAGATCTTCATTTTCAGACGTGAACTGCAAAATATGCTTCAAGAATACAACTGGCAAACAAGGTGGTGGCTGCTGTGGTTGTCTGAGGTGAGTCACTGTTCTGCTTCCACACTGACAGGGGAGAAACTTGGATTTATGCTGGCAGTGGTATGTTCTGGGGTGGTAATTTGCCTTTGGGCATATTCATGATGTATTTTGTTTCTCTCCTCCCATGTTCCCTTTTTTACATCCAATTGTACTGTGCATTGCTTATGACTGAAGAAAAACCTTTTCTTCAAAGCTTAGAGACTTTGGTTAATTGTACTAAATTTAATTTGCTGACCATTCTGCATGGAAGTGCCAAAGAGTGTGTGCCTTTGCTCATTTATGAGGGACTCCAGAGTCTGAGCTTGGACCAGTGACTGAGTCATGCCTTTCTGCCAGTCAGTCCCTGGCAGAAAAGTTACATGAGTGACAATACCAGAGCTACCATCACACTGGGCTGTAAGACAGCAATGAGATTGTAAGAGGAAAGCAGCTTTAGAAGTGAGAAGTCATTTCAACTGTGTGTGGAATTGTGAACTACCAAGAGCTCTTGGCATATGCATGGCACTCATACCTGGCCTCTTTGCTGTGGATATTGAAGAGACAGCAGTGTGAGTGTGAAACTGCCTATGCCTGCCTACGTCAACTCACAGAAGTCATGCATTCTGGGGGGTTGGGGGGCTTCATGCTGCATGATGGGGGCAGAAAAGAACACCCTGTGCCTGTAACATTAACATCTCAGTTCCCTTGCAGAGGAAAACAAAGCTTATAAGAGTGGGCAGCACAGTGTGAAAAACTCCAGCTACTGCAACAGAAGTTACATTAAAAAAAACCATCTCAAAAGGGAAGCCCTTTGAGGGATTTTCTGTTGTGGGCAACACCAAACTCATAATATACAGAGGTGAAGGAGAACAGTAAGTATGGGAGTGCTTTGCCAATTATTAAATTCAGAGGCTTCTGTAATTAAAGTGTCATCAGAGACTTATATTTTCTTCTTAAAATTTCTTTTTTTCACTGACACTGCTGCAACATCTCTGATGCTTTGTTTTGTTGCATAAAAAAGTGTAAATATGGTAACATCAACAGCAAATGCCCATTAAAAATGCCAAAAATACTCTAAGATCCACAACTAAGTCCATCTTGACCATCTTGTAAGAGTTCTTTATGCAACCTAAGATCCTTTTGGAGAGTTTCTAAATAGTTGGAGATTAACATTGGAGCTTGGCATACCCTCTGCCTCCATCCTGGCCAATAACAACACTCGCAGAGAAAGACAAAACAAAGAATCCAAAAGTCAACACATAGCATACATAAATTTGATGCCACTACTCCTATATGGGAAGTATGGGAAGAATAGTTCTGAGGAGAAACACAACTGTTTGGTTTTTTTTAGGTTATCCAAGATTCTTCATTCACTTTCAACAGAATGGATTTTTAAGAAATATCTTGTCCAGTTAGTCAGGACCTGCTGTCATAACACGATGCAATTTAGGAACAGGCTGCTTCAGTCCTTACATCTCCAGACAATAGTCAAAGAATTGCAATATGTCACACAGTATTAGATAACATCTTTCAGACATAAAAAGCTCTTTATAAAGTTGGGTAGTTCTGCCTATCAAGGTTTTGCTGATGACAGTTAAGGTAGCAAAGATTAGAAGAGAAGAGATTTTCATTTATCACAGCAGCCATTTAGCTTTAGGCTGATGGGTGATGGGGTGCTCTTCCTCCCACCTCCATTCTGGGACAACAGAAGAGGGTACAGAAAGTTTGGGTTGGGTGGAGTGATGGGCTCTGATTTTCTAAAAAGCTGTAGCAATCAGAAGCTGAGAGCAAGCTTACAGAGATTCCTCCATTGTCCAGGATACACTGGCAAGGCATTCCTAACTGAGGTCTTCAGACATGAAAACAATTGCATTTCTTCTTGGTGAGTCCTGCAAACAAGTCAAACCTACAGCAAGTACAAAGAAAATCTTTGTTGTTCAGTATCTATGACTGTTCACTTGTGGTGTTTAAAGATGTGCTTAATTAAGTGATCTACCAGATTGTTCTAATAACTGCAGCACAGAGTGATCTGATGCTATGCATGAGTTCAAAAGCTTCATTACCTCCTGGCATTCAGAAAAGCTCTTTCTGCCTTTCACTTCATTGTCATTGTCTGACATCATTACTGACACTGATTAACTTGAGAGATGCTACAGAGATCATTCACAGGCTTTCTGGGCTGCTTCAGACTCTGGTGCTGAAGAACTGTCTGTGTCTTGGGCAAGCAATATGGGCAGTAAAATACCTGACAGAAATTTACCCAAGTATGGAAAAATATTAAATGCAAATTAAATATGTTTTGTGCCTGCCTCTGGGTCTTTTTCTGTCTCAACCTGAAATTAATATTGGCATGGGATTTCACTCAAAAAAGGCCTCTTTCTACTCATTAAAATTACCTAGAATTATATAATTAGCTCAGTCTGTGTGGTTAAGTTACTTTCAGAAACTGAACCTTGTTCACTCTCCAAACAGGGCCTGTTTCCTTCCAGTAACTCTAATAAGAGAACAGACAACCAGCTCAGCAGTAGATGTCTACACCTGATCAGATGGAACCCATTATCATCAAAATTGTTGCCCCAGTCCTAGATTAGAGGCTTCTCAATACCTACATTTTTCATTGTGAATACATGTTTTCTTTTGAGAACTCTGCACAGTCACACTACTTCGTTATGCTGGGTGTATGATGGGAGGTGAAGACCTTAAAATGAATCATTTGGGCTCACTTGAGTAAACCAAAGTGGATTTTTTTATTGTGGTCTATGATAACATTTCATTTAGATTTTAAAAACAGCAGGAAAACGTTGAGATTTTTAATTAAAATTTGTGGGAACATCTTGTTTTCTGGAGAACTACATGCTCACGTTTTTTCTTCATGTGTAATAAAAACAACATTGAAATGTTGGAACTTTTCTTGGGATTGAAACAGGGCTCTCTTTAACAGCACTAAAATCATACTGAATTCAGCCAATTGAGTCATGAAGTTACAAAAGGACATTACAGCAATAGAGAACCTACCATATTTAAACAGCTTTGTCGTGTTTTCCTTTCACATTTATGTAGCAAACCATGATGTTGATTACAATGAAATACTGGCCACAGTTGGATGACTGGGGTATGTTTTCTGACCATGCAAACAAATGGGATGTCCTGGCTTTATTACAGCAGCACAGCTGGATCCTGTCCACAGCATGGTCTTCACTTACCTTCTATTGCAGCCAGTCATTAGATGATAACCTTGTGTTATCCCTCAGACCACTCCTGGCCACTTTCTGAAGTAGTGCTGGTTAAAAGGCCATGTGGCAAAAGTAGGCCAGGTAAGGGGCTAGTAAACATCAAACAGTATGACTGATAGGTGTTACTTCTCAAGCCAATGCCTTGGCACTGTTTTGCTTACTTGCAGTTTGCTCTTTGTTCACTATGGCTGAGTAGCAAGCTCTGAGCAGTGTAGATGGGCTTGTGGCCACACCAGTAAAGGTTAGCTCCCTTCAGAGCAGTCATACCTTGCTGCCTCTAAAATGCCGCTAGTACCTGATCTGCTGTTTTCAGCTGAAAGCATTCAAAATAAGGTAAGGGGCATTTTGCAGTCCGTCAGGCTGTTAGCAACAGATGTAGTGTGTGTATTGCATGCCCAGGGATACATTGCAGCAGTGAGTGGCAAAAGTGCTGATGTGGACATAATGGAATGACTGTAGAAGGGAAGGGAGACAGGATAGTTCCACATATTTGGGGGAAAAAAGCCTGGAATGAGCTGTCCCCAGAGCTATGCCTGGGCTGTGTCCTTGCTAAAACTGATAGGAGAGAGATAGGAGAGAGACAAGCCAGAGCCATGCAGTGAAGCTACAGCTAAACAGACTGAATGATCAAAGTCTCTCCCTTGCCCTTGTGCACTTAGTAGGAGCAATACCTCCAGATTGT